AAAAGCCCCCGTTTTCTTCCGTTTTCTCCCAGGGCCGGTATTGCTCCTGTGCTCAGATTTTAAAAAATACAACAGCTGGAGATCCAAGTCGTATGTGCATTTGTGGTCTACAGTCGGAATGACGAGTAAATTAATATCAGATTCATAAAGATATTAATAGAATTAGACAGACCAATCTGTTTTCTTAACACAAAACGCAATTCATTATACAGTATCATACAAAGTAGAATACGTTGTCCTCCTTAATGAGTTAAATAGGTCGGGTGCGCAAAAAGAGCACGTGACCAAAGTAAAAATGAAGCTGTATTGTGGAGCGATCAAAGATTCGTCTCGACATACAGACATATTGCATAACACATCGTCATGTGACATGATCATATGAGCCATGTGTTATTACCGAACTACCACAAATCATAATTTAATTAAAACAATAATTAGATAGTCCAAGAACGAGCTGCTAAAACATTATTTAGCTGTATGAGATCATGTACCAGTATAACTATGGAGTTTTATTATGTTATTGGAACTAGTTATTTTATCACAATAAACACGACTTCTCCACAACCAAGGAGCTGACGTCCTGACTAACGTAGAAAAAGTGAAGTGCTTGTAGCTTAAGATCACATAAGATTATTCACATGTCTTTAGATAAGGTCACAAAAAAGCATCTCAGACTTTTAGGTCGAGAGAGAACAATGATCTCATCTCATGTAGTCATCCATATTTACTAATTCAAAATTATACATAACTTGAGTCCTTAACTTAGTAATGCATGTGCATTAGTATTGTTGTCATGTCATAATTCGTATTCAAATATGATAGTATACTTTTGATTTTTTTGTGAACAATAAAAAACATGAGATTAAAGAGATTTACACATTCACCTAAAAATGGAAAAGTTTATGCAATATATAAATTAAAAAATCTAATAGAAAGCTATAATTTGGATGTAATTTTGGTTTGGTTTGGATAAGCCTTTTTTAGTTTTTCAATTTACAAATACTTACATCCAAAATAAAACAAAATTTATTCTTGATAGTTTAATTCTGATTCAAATTTGATATAAATTGAAGTTCACTATATTATACTCATTATTAATAAAACTTGATTTTCTTTGTTTTTTTATTGGTTCAATTCACAATTAGTTTTTAATTTCCTAGATATGTAACATATACTTTAGTTAGAATTTATAAAGATATGGTATAATTTCTAAAATAGTTTTTTTTGTTTAGTTTGGATCAGATCAGCTCTATCAGTTTTTTTTTTTAGTTGGATGTAAACATCCTACACGCTAGTAGTAAGCACATCTTAATTTACTAAACAACACATTGACTTACAAATTTCTAAAAGTAACAACACTACACGTGCTTGTCCCATGTTTATTCGCCGGTTCCATTTACAGCAAAACTTCACCGCCATTCTGTTCTGATCACTTTTACTGGCGAATACATTTAGTAATAACAAATCAAACTGAAAAACAAGGGAACAAAATAAAAGATAAGGGTATACTAAACATCAAAATGATTCTAATACCATACGACAAAAGATTCTTAAAGGCTAAAACATGAAATTTCAAAGAAAAAAATAGATTCTCTCATTATTCAGAAGCTTTCTCTGGCGTTCTACAAAGAATCATATGCATTGGCGTGAAGATGCCAGTCTCACCACGTCTAGTCAAATAATCAGCAGTCTTAGACAACATCGCATGAACATCAACGGTTCCTCTAGGTGCAAACCCAATAGCAGACAGAATCACAATCACAACGTGTAGTGTTACTTTTTGAAATTTGTAAGTCAATGTGTTGTTTAGTAAATTAAGATGTGCTTAGTTGTCGACCTTGGGTTAGATGGTAATGGAATTGAAGTGAGTGGTCGTGATAGTGGGCCGGCCGGTATGTCTATCTTAGTGTCAACAGTCTGAAAATTTAATTTAAACCTTTATTTTTGAGTTTAGGTGAATGATTTGTTTGACGCATTTTAGTAGTGTGTGCATGATCCAGTGGCCGAGGTAGTGCTTAGGGGGTCAGTTGACCCTATGAACTTTTATTACAAAAATATTACTTGTATTTTTATTAGAAAACTAATGTAATGTTATAAAATCAGTACATTGACCCGATAATATTTACTCGAAATTAACTTGGCCCATGATCAGTTCATGCATTAACCCCTATTTCTTAAAAAAAGTATTAAAATAAAATAATCATTAAAGATGGAGGAAGTATAAAACTAAGTTAGTCGTATCGATACTATTAAAACATAAGCAATTTTTATCTACTTGCAAGTAGTCTACTTCAAAACATTACATTTATTTAATTTTATGTTATGTTATATATAACAAACTTAGTTATTATTAAATAACAACATTATATTAATATAATATTTAAATATATTCAAAATAAGATATCAAAAAGATATTCTTAACTACTTTTTCAGATTACAAAAAGATATTCAAAATAAGATTTCAAAATATTTTTATTATTATTTTAATAATAAAAACGAAAATAATAGTAAATTAAATTATACATGAGTATTAACTCATTTTGATTTATAGAATAAGAACTAACGTTCTATCACATTTATCTATAAATATTTCATATTTTTAACTAAAATTACACAAAATAATAATTATAATATAAATTAATCTACTTTATAAATTATAAACTAGATGAATTAGATTTACAGAATAACAAAATACTACCATAAGATATTTAAAAAAATTATATTTTAATATACATATCTAAATTAACAACATTAGGATATAAAAAATTAATATTTAATTATATATAACTGATACACGAAATAATAATAAACAAATTCTTAAAACCTCAGCCAATACATAATAATATAATTATCATAGATAAAGTCTTAAAATCATTTATATATATATATATATAGTTTTTATAAAATAAATATTAATAATAGCTACTATTAATATTTAATTATATGATGAAACATGTTATTACTGATATTTTATGATTATAATTTTACGGGTTGTTCTAATAAACATATAAAATATTCATTTTATATAAATTAATTTAAAAATTTTTTAAACATAATTTAAGTTATGCTTGGAGTTCAAGTACTTATTGAGATACGGGTCAAATATTTTGAATCAAAACTAATTTATATCACATCATAGGTGTCATAATTTGTAAGTAGACATGTTTGTAAGCATGGATCAAGTTCAAATATAACACTTCGAGTTTAGTTCTAATTTATACACATCATAAAACCGATAAAATAACCATATATCGTTTGGATTCAGGTTATATTGGTTGGGAAATCTAAAATCTAAAACCAAAATTTTTTTTTAAAAATACTTATTTTCATAGAATTGGATATTAAAGTACTTTATTTACAATTTAGATAATTAATTTTAAATATCATTTTAAAATAAATATAGAACTGAATATTTAAACTAGATATTTATGTTTCAAATATTTATATTTATGATTACTTTGGACATTCAGATCGATTCATATTTTTTTCCAGATTGTTTGGTTTTTGGGTTATTCGTTCGGGTCTGACTAATAACACTTTGATTCAGATATATTTTGTACCACTCTACAAAATTCATTCTGATATATTTTAGATTTTTGACCGGTTACGGATCCAAATTCTTTTGTTTAGTTGAGTTTAGATATCGAGTTATAGATTTTATGCACATGTCTACTTTATATAAAAGAAAAATGCGGTCATATAAAATTTCACCAAAAGATTATCCTGCATTTTTTAAAATACTATGTTTGATGAAATTAATGAACTAAACAAGTCTATCCTACATTCTACATGTGTAGGAAATGCGATTATATAAAGTTTGCATCAAACATAAACCCGCGCTTTGAAAGCGCGGGTCAAAACCTAGTTTAGATTATAGTGGCAAACACGTAATAGTGGAAAACATTGACCATTTGGCAGGTATTGGACCGGACCAGCTAATTGGAGACGTACTATACGTTCTTGATCACTAGAGACGGTGATATTTGTGGCCGGTATGTTGGATCCGGCGGTAAAGAAGAACTCATTTGGAGAGATTCTCAGATATTCAGGTGTTCATGTCACTTACTAATTTGTAAACTCGATTTACGAAAAATAAAATGATTTTGTAGGGTTGTGTCTGAACCAGCGGAGACCGGTTTATATAGAAAACCACAAAATGTGTGGTTCTTGGTTTGATTTGGCTCTGTCCTTTGAACTTTGAATGCACGGAATTTGAGTATTTCGGTAAGAGAATGAGATGTAAATTGATTTGTACCAATCCAATGAAGATATTGTGTTATTCATAGCATATAATTAAAGCATAGATATCATTTTCTATGTGATACGAAGGCATATGTGTTATTTAATTAATGGTGGGTTGTGAATTACATTTAATGTATTGCCAATTTGGTGTTGCGAATATATTGGTTGTAACTGGTAACAATGTAACTGATCAACAGCTTTTCCCAAGTACCATCTACCATTCGCAACAAAGTGAGCCAAACACTCACATGGCCACAACTAAATGAAAAGCTCAATTAAGCCGATCCGAAATTTTTTACGAAATAGAGTGGAACTAACAAGTTGTCCAAAATAATAAGAGTGGACTAACATTTGAGAAAAGAGAGAAACATATCCTAAGACTCATTTAACTTACTCCCCATCACTAGTTTAATCACATTTTAGGCTTGCATCAGATTGTAAGTGTTGTAGTCTTCTTTGTTTCTTTCTATCCAACTTGTTAGAAACTATATTAGGTTACATTAACGTCAATGAATCAAATAGTTAAAAATAAAGGTGTAAGAGCTAGAGTGGCATTGAAAATGATCTGAACAAAAAACATATATTCACAAAGATTAACCAATGGAAAGGAAATGGTGAACAATCAGCAAACACATAATAACAAAATCAAGATTCACACTGTATATATGATGATCATTATATAATTCAATTTTGCACTAACTTAAAACATATAAAGAAAAAATAAAAAGGAGATAAAACTTTAAAGGAATATAATATAATCAAGAGGTATGAAGATGAAGTGGTTTTGGTGGATCCATGGTTCTTCTCTTCCACAAGTTAACTTCATTCTTCGCCGTCAAACTCAACGGAGCTGAGAACGGAATTTTTACGTCATCTCCTTCCTCTTCCTTGTCCTCTCTCAAGTAATCTCCTCTCCTCTCATCATCGGAATAGTAACCACGGCCATGATCATCAGCCGGAGAGTACTCTTCCTCACGTTTCATCTCAAACCTTCCTAAAGCGTCACGGCCGCTCGCAAACTTCTTCATCTGACCTAAAGACGGCACCACCGTAACAGGATGCTCAGCCACGGCAACGGGATGTGATTTTCTTGACGTGTTACCTCCAGCCGTAGAGGGAAACGAGAAGAGACGCTTGAACTTAGAGAGACGACCTTTATGATCATCTTCTTTGGTTAAAGAAGATGTTTTAGGGTTTTTCTTAGGGGAGGAGCGTTTTGATTTAACGAGCTTGATCTGACCGATGCAAGAGACTTTAGGTGAAGTTGGCTCGTCCCAAACGGCGTCGTCGGTTTTGTTTCTCCTCACACGAGCGGCGTTAGGGACCAAGACCATAGGACCGGAGAAAGACTTGTTGTTGGAGGATGACGTGGCATTATGGAGATCTTTTCCGGGACTAAACGGCGGTACACGACGTTGTCCGAACGACATAGCTTTGGGAAGCATCTTCAAGAGCTTGTTCTTGTTCTTTGGTTTTGAAGTTGGTGGCGAAGCATGGTGTTTATTGTCCATTGATTGTTGTTGTTGTTGATTCATTGCAAAATAGAAGATATGAGTTTTTTCTTGCCTTTTTGTTTTTTTGTTTATGGGATTTGTGTATATGAAATGTTCAAGAAGGAAACAAAGTCTGAAAAAGTCAACGATGATGCCTGGATTAGAGGAGTTTTGGTCAAAACAAATCTATATACTAAAAAGCGTTGAAGACATTTATGCCGAACTTATAAAATCTATAATCTTTAAGGCAAGTTTCTTCTTCTTGTTTACTAGCTATGTATGTATGATTCGTAGCCTATGAACACGTTGTTAGAAGGTTCACATAATAAAAAAAGAAGACCAAATGAAATAAATTTCTCATATAAAATTTATTACAGAAATATCTAATTCTTATTTTAGTTATTTTCAATAATATATTTAAAAATTATTAAATTAATTATATCTTTTTGCTTTGAACAATTCTGTAAAGTTGTCATAGATGGAGATTGTTGTAGAGGACAAAGTAAATTTCCTTTTTATGCCGATTATCTTAAATACTAATTTGACTTTAACGTTGGTCTTATTAATCTGAAAATTCGATTTAGTTACTTTGAAACGGTGGTGATTAGTACTTAGGGACCTACATGCATAAAAAAGAATAAAGTAGATTCATTAACAATCTACTAAAGTGGTTGGAGCTTGTATTTTTGCAAATATCCCACATAATTCGGGTTATTTTTTTATTGAAAAATCTTAAACTCTTGTAATTTTAACAACTGGAAAAAAGTGGTACAGTCAGTAATTTGTTTTCTTCGCATGGATTTAATTACCAGTTCATATTTATAATCCAGAGAAATCAAAATTCGAGATGAAACTCGACAGTTTGACACATTCCAATAGTTGTGTGTGTATAGGAAGTTATTGAAGTGTTAAACTCTGACCATAACTAGTTAATATAATATGATTTTTTTTCTTGCGGAATCTGGACAGAGTCTGTACACAGAAAAATCTGAGATCATATTAAAAAATAACTCATATTCAAAGACAATATATAGTCTTATAAATCACTGTATAAATCACATTCAATGATGATGATGATATAATTAAGCTTAAATATTAAACTGTTTGATTCTCAGAGTTGAAAGATCAGAAATTGACCTCGATTTGTGCTTTTTGAACTTGGGTAAATAGGTTCATAAATATTAGATTTCATAACTAACAATGAACTAGTATCTTTTATTAGTAAGATTCTTAAAAATATGAGGTTCAGTGATTTGGTTAAATATTTGTTAGAAGATTTTGATATTAACTCCAATAGAATCAGTGTGAAGCTTAGTTATGCATTTCTTTCAAAAATAGACTTTGGAAGTAAATATATTCCTCCAGTGTTTATCAGGAACGATCGTCATGTTTCAACATATCTGAATAAACTACAACATAATGGAGGTCTTCATCTATGTTTAACATTTAAGGTAAGTAAACATATTTGTTATAATAGTTATCATTTATTTTAAAATGTAGTAGATAGTTATCACCATTGATTATATCAAATATGATTCAGACACGGGATAAAGTTTTTATTTATGATTTGCTTGTTCATTGATGTAGTAATCTCTTTGAGGTATTTTTTAGAACTTTTATATTAATAACATCTTATAATTCTATTTTACAAAATTACAAGATATTATGTTTCAAAAGAGAACACAAATTTTACCAATAATTACGTCAGATATGATTCATACACGGGTGATGGAACATCTTGTTCTAATGAAACAATTTGTCCATCAAACTGACCTCGATTGATTAAATATGTTCTTTATACTTTACTTATTCTTTAAATATGTTTTGGTTAAATAGTTTTTTTTACTATCAATAAATATCTTATCATTGCATGTATGTTGATATTTTATGGGAGTCGAGACATCAAGCTGTCACGATATAAGAAATGAGTTTGCATTAAACATAAGACTCATAAATGAGTTTGCACAAATTCTGTTCAAGGATTTCTTATAGAAAAATGTTACAATGGTGAAGTATGCGTTTCTCGATATCTTTTTTTATCAAAGTATTTGAATGCTTCTATCAAATGATCTTCTTTCTCCAATCTATGTCAATATATTGTAGCAGTTATAAACTCAATAATAAGAGAGCTCAAGAACCTAAACTGTATTTGATTAATTAATGAAAAATGTACAATGAGCTGTTTATATACAAGTGTATAGAACCTGTAACTAACTAAATGTACACGTAGACATACAGCCTAACTAACTATACGTATAAGGCTGATGTATATATAGTTCCATCAAGAAAACCTAGTTTATTCCTGACATTAAGAGCCATACGTACAGAACGACGCCAAGCATGGAAGTCAGCACCAGATTCCAGACGATCCGTAACCAAAACTAATCCAGCATGATCAGAGTTATGGAGGTAATACGGATTTTCGTAACGATCAACCATCGAAGAAGGATCAAAGTCAGACATTATCAAGAAACAGTCGATATCAACAATCTTCAACAAACGAGTCAAGATACCGAGTCAAGATAACAACCGAGTCAAACTACCGAGTCAATCGTAACGAACAGCTCTAAATCTTCAAGGGGAACTGATCGAAGAGAAAGAAAAGTTGAATCGAAAAGAAAACGACCTGAATCACGTTGAGGGAGAAGCTCGAGAAAGATCCCCAACGTCACAAGTCGAAACACAGCTCAAAACGTCGAGAAACGAAGGAGAAGAACGAAACAGACGAGCGCAAGGAGATCGAAGACGTAAAGCAACCAAGAAATGAATTAATCAGCGAGAATCGTCTGAATCGAAGCACTCATGATCTTGAATCCAAGCTCAAAATCACGGAAAATGGCGAAAAAAGTTGTTGTGCTTTGATACCATAATAAGAGAGCTCAAGAACTTAAACTGTATTTGATTAATTAATGAAAAATGTACAATGAGCTGTTTATATACAAGTGTATAGAACCTGTAACTAACTAAATGTACACGTATACATACAGCCTAACTAACTATACGTATAAGGCTGATGTATATCTAATACTCAATGTAATCAATTGTCTTTAATCAGCCTATTGTATGAACAAAAGCCATGATCACAGCTTGGCTGTTAATGTTTTTTGCTTACAGCTTTCATGTTTTGTTTGATTTCAGCTCAAACTAGGCCTGTTCAATCTGGTGTTCGGTCCGGTTTCGGTTCGTTTTTTTCGGTTTTCGGTTATTCGGATTATAAAAATTAGCTACTATATTACAACCATATTTAATTTGGTTTGGTTCGGTATTTATACTACCGGTTTTCGGTTTATTCGGTTTTATACCAACTAACATTATTATTTGATTTGGTTTCATATTATATAAATTTAAAAAAAAACATATTGTCAAAACTATCATTTATTAAAATAATCCTAGGTGTTCATAAATACAAAAATGTGAAATTAACAACAAACAAAACGATCAACGATTCAGTTTTGTATAGCTTTTCTTATTTTCTCTTTGTTCTTCCAAATAAATTACATGGTACAATCTAATTTCACAATTTCTTACAACATGTAAAATCAAATCAAATTTAGATAATAGTTGAAGAAAATAAAATAAAATTATTAAGATATATCTTCACTAGGTATAAAAAAATAAAAATAAAAAACTATTCCAAGAAAATAAATGGTTATTTAGTGTATATATTTATATATTTTTTCTTGATCGGTTTTGTTCGGTTTATTCAGTTTAATCGGTTATAAACCTAACCATATCCAAATCCTGCGGTTTTTATAAAATCATATCCATTCGATTTATATGGTATATACCAAATCTAAACCATATTATCTATTTCGATTCGGTTCGGTACGGTTCGGTATCACCATACTGAACAGCCCTAGCTCAAACTTAAAACCTTTAGATGTTACAACTCAAATAAGTTCTTGATCGAGTTCTTCTGATCATGGTTTACAATTTCTCAAATTTTTATTTTTTTTGAAACAAAGTATCTCAATTGTTTATCAATTTATTTTTGGGTAGGCTCTTACTTAGAGATATTTATTTACTATACAAGGACTAGATTTAACCTCTTTTTTTTAGAGTAATTTTCATAGAAAGGCAGTTTAGTGTTTTTTATTACAGAAAAAGACAGTTTCCGCTCCTAGAGCAGTTTCTTCTAACTTATTCCATCTGTTTTTAACCAAACCAACTAAAGTATAAAGTAGTAGGACCCACTTCTCTTTCATCTTCCCATCTTCTTCTTTTCGTTTTTTTCTGTTATGCATTTTTTTCCTGAG